TAATTAATTCTATTTGAAAAGAAATTTTAAATACCCATGTTTTGGAGAAAACGTTAATTTTGGTTCACTCGACCGCGGTGCATAATATATTATGTTTATCCAAACGGTGACATTTGTTATAGAAATATACTTTAGCAGCATAATAAATATACATATAGACTTTATACAATATTATGATGTGTATATCACGGAAAACGTCTATTTAACTAGTACCATGTTATAGTCGTTTCCGTACGTATGATGCAGTCTGTAGCGTGTTTATCTTTTCGCTTTCGCCCTCCGCCATCCTCGCCGCCGTTCCGAAAACGTGCTCATCCCTCCTCTCGCGTCCGGCGTGGCGTTGAATCGTCTCTGGCAAATGCCGCTCAGAAAGAATCCACACGCGAGCGTTTACCGCGCTGTCAAAAGGCCATAATCCGCTGGGTTTCGATTTCAATCTCGAAATGGAGATGAGCAACGCCGCCGCCGCTCGTCGCGTGTAAAACCCCCTCGGTGGCGAATCGAATGCTTTTTAAGAAAATAATCCCCCCGAGGAATATACAGTGTGTGCGTGCATGCGTGTGCGTGTACGACTGAAATAGGCACTCGGGGGGGGGGGGGGCGATAGACGAATGGATCGTAGTGCGGTGGAGACGGAAAAAAAAGCCGCAAATAAGGCCGACGTAGCCGAGACGCGAATGACAGAGGGGCAGGACCGATGATACGGGCTGAGGCGGATAGTTGATTCTTTTCCCACTCCATTACGGCCAGCGAGTGTGTATTTGTGTGTCCACCGGCCGTATATAAATATATTATATTATAGTGATTGGATCGACGATGGCTGACTCGCGAGCGGTAGCCGATAGTCGAATGCCGAGTGAAATGCTGGAGGAAAAAAAAACACGATAGCTTATAAGAAACCATTACCCACCCGTTGTACCGTACACCGTTAATGCGAAGTCGGTTGTTTCGGATGTGTGAGCAACGAGTAAAATAATATTATGTTATTATATCTTTTTTGAGTTAGCCAACCAGCACACTGTTGTTTTTATTATTGCGTGTTATTTAATTTAGTTTTACTGTATAGATTTTTTTACATACATGGGTACATTATACACTTTACTAACATAACATATTATTATTATTATAGTAGGTAGGTACTAGGTACATAATATTGCGCATCTCGCATTATAGTTTTTAAGGAACGAATAGCTGTTACTTACCACGCAGTATTGTTACTAGGTAGGTAATATACTGTCGTGACTAATGACATAATATTATGTTCAAATGAAAGAAATTGTCGTGTAGAATCGTATTTAACCTGTAAACTGTTTATTGTTTGAGATGGGCGTGTGTGTGTGTGTGTCCACCGGCCATAACCAACAACAATAATGCTATTATACAGTAATATTGCATCGACGATGACGTAGACGTTCCAAGTGCGGTAGTTGACTTTCGAAAGAAATGTCCGAGAAAACGAAAACACGAAAGCTTAAGAAACCATTAAGTTATATATAGGTGGTACTTATTTGGAAGTATAAAAATAAATTCAGTTGTTTGGGAGGTAAAATAGATATAACGTGAGTAATGTCGTACGCTGTATAAGTCTGCGTTTGCTACGACTAATCGCTTTGGATTGACACGCGATTTTATTTTTCCACAAAAAGAAAATTGTTGTATTTAATATATTATAGTTTAAACAATAGCCCGTAATAATTAGTAAAAGAAACGTCGAATGTTAGTTGGAAAACATTATACCATTGCGACATAAAAATAACTATAGTTTACCTGTGTATTATTCTGATTCAGTTTTTCTCTTCCGAATTCAGTCTATATTTAGTATTGGTATTTACTTTTTATGCTTTATAATGTTTGTCATCTGTCTACGATGCGTGAACAACAAAACATTTTGTGCACTGTATGTTTGATCGATTTATAATGTTTAACTGTCCATGTAATTTGAGTACCTATATATTGTAAACAATATTTTTTTCAATCTGATCGATCAGCAATTTATTTTGGCTCCAGGAATGCGATTTATATATAGTATTAATCGTGGACAATAATAAAATTATAAACGTAAATAGTTCTCGTCGACTATCATCTAAAGCGGTGTAGAGTGGTTTTCGCAAGTGTTTTAGTGTCTAGAAACATTTTTGGAAGTAAGACTTTTAAAAATACGCATTTAATGGAAGCAATGAAAAAAGCATCTGACCTTTTCCGGCCGGTTGGACAGTTCCGGTTACTCTTTGACAGCCATTGAACCTAATGGTGCTATAATAGTGCCCTTTGAGTACCTACGTGTGTTCTCTCAGTCAACGTTAAACACAATTTGTGGAAAAAACCTTATGCTACCATAAACTTATAGCCAAGATGTATTCACATTTGTTCAAAGCATCCGAAAAAAGTCGAACATTGGGCGGCGCATGTTTTCCAGCTGTTAGCTAACAGTTAAACTCTATAAGAAGAATAATGTCTTCTTAATTTGTCATTACCCATACGAGTTTTTGTTAAGACGGTCCACGGTCGACTATAATGTATGTGTGTTAACTTTTCGAAAAGAACTAGTGTGTTTTTGTTATAAAAATATACAAATGGTCATGACAATAGTTCGACAACGGATAAGAATAGCATTAAATAATAACAATTTAAGTATTCAAACAAATACGTATTCACTAGATTTATACGACTATGCAAATTTGTCTGTATCATTGTTTAGCCCTTTTGAATTTAAAATAGATTCGAAATACAAACGACAGTAAAGAAACAAAAAAAAAAAAATATTCATACATTGCGACATTGAACATTTCAACAATATCGATTTACTATGAGAAAAAAATAATGTTACCTCAACTTTGTTTGCTATTCTCACCAATTAATGTTATACTGTTTATATTTTACAATTTTAAATTAATTTGCGACCAATAAAACGCAATTAAAAAAAAGGTGCTCTGCTGTACAGTAGGTTACAAGTGGGTCACTATTTAATGGATGGTATTAAATTTGAATTTAACGATTTAATATCGTTGTATAAGAAAAACGATTCTGATCGAAAACAGTCAGTCAGCCTATGATATTACGAAGTATGTTTGACGATATTATTGTGAATAAAGTAATTTATATATTTAGCTATTTACGTGAACGCTTGTTTTAAATTTTCAATCCTTAGCAATAAAAGTTGAACATTTTATAAATTTTTAACTACAAAATAATTATTAAATTTAAAAATGAGAAATTTTGTCAAAATTCGAACGTTGAATGCTTATAAAAAAAAACTGTGTCTAAGGATTTTTAATTTTTTTCATGTGCCTTTGAAACAATATCTAGGAGCCTTCTATTAAATTTTCAAGCTTTTTTAACCAACAAATAAAATTTTATTGATATTTATAGAAAAAAGAACTGAAAAAAAAAATGGAAACTGAAAATGTCCGTAAAGAGCTCTAAATAAATCAAAACATTTGAAAATGTTATCATGTATAGAAAATGCTAATTCAGTCAAAATTCCATGTACCTAAGTTCATTTGTTTAAGAGTTGCACCAAAAATCAAATTGATTTTTCAAAAACAGATTTTGCGTACAAATTCCCGGTTTTCCTTAATTTTTCTTTTGTTTTTCAAGGCGCTTTTGAAAACTACTGGAAAATTTTTACTATTGACCCCCAAAAGTAACAACTAGATTCACTTTCCTATTAGAAAAGATACTGTTGAAGAAAATCCAAGCACTTTTACTGTCCTAAAAGGTAATGACAGACACAAAAAAAATTAAAAAAAAACACACATCATTGTACAATCAATACATTCATCGTTCCACTCAGAATCTAAAAATGGATTTCTGGAATTGTTATAACCTTAAAACTCATAACGGCGTAACGAGTAATTCATTTTTAAGAAATCTAACAATAACGTAGTTGTGAACAATGAAACATGATAAACAATAAAATAACTTTATTTTCTAAAAAATATTTCTGGAAATCGCGAATAATTATGTATATGAACTCAATAATAATAATAATAATAATACAACTCATTAATTATTTTACTGTTATTATTCATAATATTCGTATATTTAAATGGATTCAAGTTGTAATTATTATTGTCACAAGCATACAGTGTTATTTTCAGTGACTTCTTCCTTTAATTTTTCACAAATTTAATATTTTTTTTATGTTATATTGAAGTCTAAAGTATTGAACTGCAGTAATGCTGATTTAATTGTTTTCGTGTTTAATTAAACTCAGGGTTATCCATACGAAAGTAGAGAAAATCCTAAATTTCATATAAATTATGAGTACTTAAGTAAGAATGTTGAGATCACTATACGCGAACTGCATATACCAACATTTTATATAAATATATATATTATATATACTTATAAATATGTTGACTATTATACTATAGTCTGTTCAGAATGAGATCGGTACGGGCGGCCAAATAGTGCGCATGGGCGTGGCTTTGTTACGTAGCAGCGCACGACGCGTCGCAGTAGTGGAGACAGCGTCTGACCATTGACCATAATATTATGTCTGACCGCCGCCCGACGAAAATTGGTCGCCGCCGTGTACCGATCTCATTCTGAACAGACTATACTATTACTATAATATATAAAACGTATGTTAACTTAAAATTTGACATTTTATACAGGTATTAACGCCAGCTTAAATATTTGCCATATCGTTGCTTCCATCGAAAATATTATCCCCATTACCTCGAATTTGGTGAAAATTACATTTTTTCACCATAAAAAAAATGTTACAACAATAAGCGTGGATTTCGGGAGTAATCGCTGCCTCTTTAGAACACCATTAAAATATTTCTTGTGTGCATATATTTATTTTCGATTTACTTTACATCCCTTAAAAACGATTAAAATTATGATAATGTTTCGATGTGTTATATTACATCTGCTCACATTATACTACTGCATTGTAATGTCTTATGTGTAAAGCAGTTATTGTCATTGTTGTTTACAATAGTTATATGTAGGGATAACTACTAAACAATAAAAATCGTTTTGATTTTCAGATTCAGCTTTATGGTTACAACACTGATCTTTATTCAAATATGTCGGAAGCCCAAATGAAATCCCAAGGAATTGTCGGTGTATCACTTATGGTCCAAGTGAGTTCTGAAAAACGTCCGTTTAACTATAATTTTAGAAATTCTTAATAATTTGTTTTAACCTTACAGATTGGACAGACAACGAATTCAGAATTCCAAATGGTCACCAACGAGTTCGGAAAACTTTTGTACAAAGGTAAGTTAACATTAGCATGAAATTGTTATTCACATTAGTACCTATACTATCATGATAAAGACACATGTTAAATATTTTCATATCGTTGATTTCCGTATGTGCAGGTTGAGTATAATAATTAAAAAATTAAAGCTAACCGTGTTAGTAGTAGGTATTGAGTTACAATAATACTAATCCTATCAAGTCTGCATAGAACAATGATTCACTGAAATTATTATTTACAAAATATTAAAATTGATCAGTAGCAATTTTATCATGTGAATAACTTGGAAAAATAATATCTTTGAATATTATCAAAAATATTCTCAAATCGAGCAAACTATAATGAATTAAAAATTAATTCGCAACAGCCATTTAGACTATTTTAAAAGACTTAGCTGCTTAATTGTTTGTTTGCATGTCAATAATATTTGTGAAATTATCGTATTATATTGTAGCATATAAATGATATGAATTCATTGAAGTCGATATTGTTGAAACATACTACATAGTGTATTATAATATAATGGTGGTCTTTTGATGGAAACAATAATAATTAGGGTATAACATGATGTTTTAATAATACTATTTATTTATTATTAAAACATTAGAATTTTTAGAATTTTTCGGTGCGCATCGTTTCTCGCAGTTTATTTTTCTTATTCGTAATTTCGGTAAAATAATTCGTACGAGCTGATTTGGTAGGAGTTAGCCAGAGAAATATACGGCATTACATTGTCCTTAATTTTAAGTACAGCTCTAAAATCACTTTACAGTCACTTAACGATTTCGGCATTAATGCGAACGTGCTTTTGTCGTGTCACGTGTGTGAAAGACAATGACAACAAACTGCGCGGTGCTAAGTCATTTTAAAACTTTGTTTTTGTCTTGAATACCACTACTAGACGCACACAATCGTACATTTATATATATGCACATGTATATACGTATATGTTTTACGCGTAAAACAATTATTTAATGTGATATTCTTGGAAGGAAAAACATTTAAAATACAGTAAAAATACCTCAACAGAAACGGGTAAAAAATCGATAAATAATTTTCTACTCTATATTATTATGTTCAAGGCGGTACTGTACAATATTATTTGAATAGGTTTTATTTGCATTGAGTTACAAGTCACACCGAAAATAATCACTCTGCTGACGCGAAATCGGAATATAGTTGTGGTCGCATTCAGATTGTTACTTAGGTACAAATTAGTTTCTTCCGAACGTTACTATGCTTTTCCGGGTCGTCGTATAGTTTTCACAGTTGTTTGGAAATATTATTATTACTCGGTGAAAGATTTTTAGTTTCATAGGATTTTTTTCGTAATACAAAGCCACCCATTTGATTTACTAGTGCAATTAAAATTAAGTTGTTGTTCGTAATAAAATATTTCGAATCGATGTTTGAACATTTCTCGGAAATATTAACAAAACGAATTTGTTTCTTTAAACTCGATTCGCCCCCACTATAACATATATTTTTATGAAAATATATGAACGAATTCGTTTTAAATATTTATTTCGGAATTCCAAACATTTTACTAAACACAAGTTAAAGTTGGCCTAGAGAGTCGTGTATACGAGAAATCCGTTTTTACTGCAATATGCCGTAATGAAATATTTGACGTTTTAGACTTTAGATGACCTACAACTTGCGTTAAACTATGAGCATTTTTATTTCCCATGGTTATTATAATATTTACCTATTTGCGTCAAAAACAAAAATATATAAAACATTTCGCTTGGAATTAATGTAAGCAGTTTTATTGTGGTTTTATCTATTTAAGAAATATTTATGAAGACGAGTATTTACTCTCTACTAAGGTTATAGACATAATTTGTACAGTATTTTACTATTAGTTTTATGTATAAAATCAATACATTAATAATTATTTTGTTAAAAAAATGAAATACATTTTCCGAGCAGAATAAACCGTGAATGACATAAATTGTTTTTTATGATCTTTCTCCACAGGAGGCGGACCTACATTATGTTATTATTTATTTGATTGTATAGTTTGAATTAGTTTTAACAATATATAGTTTTCACCTGTATAATATTAAAACTATTTAGGGATAGTCGAGGTCTATTTGACACAATTCGCCGAATTCTGAAATCGATTTTGTATTTTTTATTACCCAAAGTAATTATTAGAATTTAAAAAAAAAAAAAAAAAGTACGCTTCATTTAAAAATAAATAAATTTAACTAATAGTAACTATAAGTATAAAACAAATAGTAAGTAATCCAAAAAAATTAAAAATTATATAGTTTCAGTTTATATGTTAAATACCTACTACAGAGTAGTATTATACATTAAAAATATAAAATATTATAAATTATATTATATATTATACAATTGAATAATGATGGTTGTAAACGAGTACTCAAAAAATAAAATTATAGCAGCATGTTTGACGAAAACTAATACCTGCTTATAAAAGTTGTAGACACACGCCAACCCTGTAAATAATCATTATCAACTAAAGCAAACCATAGCAAAAAGTAAACTTAAATGTGACACGTTTACGATAATTTTTATTACACGATTATGTTTATGCCCATTGATAACCTTTTTTATTGCTTTTATTTCAATTTGTGTGTTTTATTTACATCATATAAGTTCAATTCACAGTGAGTGCTTAAAATTTGTTTTCAACTTATACTATTCAAGGTTATACAATACATAGGTATTTCAGACCACGGTATGAAATTGAAATGAATAAACGTATGAACAAAATATCATGAAAGTTGAGAAATTCCAATGTGGGTACCAACATATTGGCATGATAAAAAGGAAATGTCACGTCTAAAATAATATGCAAACAAATATATTATAGCACTAAATCAATCGTTACGAATATGGATGACTATAATGTATTATGTTTTACATGTTTGAAACTCGGTGTAAACTTACCTTGTTTAATTGGAAGCACGTATCTATTCCTATATACTTAATTTTGTGCGTTTAGAAATTTGAGGAGCGATATGGTTCGCGTGAATCTAGTTTTTTGTTGGTCCGAATTGGACCTACACCCAGAAACCCCCACCCACGGACCGCAAATTGGAAACGACATTTGTGTGAATTTTTGATGTTTTTGTGTATGTGAAAAAGTTTAATCATACATTTCGATAAAAACCATCAAAAGATACGCTTGCGAATTAAAAAAAACAACGCTATGCTCCAAACGATCACTTGATCTTTACTAAAAAATAATAGTCAATATCACGTTGTATCATATTATTATAATTCAATAACACTGAAATGAACAAACTTACAGCTATATACAATACACATAATATTATATTACATGTCTGGGGTTGTGATCTGCCCCAATAAATTATATTAAAATATTATTATCTGCCAATTTGCCAATTTCAATCTTTCAAATCAAGGACTACGAAAATGGAAACTATTGCAATTTCTCGGTATCTCCAAAGATTGTTAAAAAAAATATAATATTCACTGTATTAGTCCTATTCAATCACAACATAAAATATATTATGTATAATATTAATTGTGCGATGAAAACAACGCTTTCTTTCTCCATTCGAAAATGTAACGGATCAAAGGACCGGAACAAATATAATATTATAGTATACGCCGCACGAGCAAATGACAATTTATCGTATGCATTATTATTATAATAGCCGACAGGGCAGAACGCAATTTATTTCTGTCCTAATAATTGAATATGTCAACGTACATAATACCGCCCCATGTACAATATAATATACCGATGTCCTCCTCGATTAATGTAGTATTAGATATTTATCCGAAATATTTGAATCTAAATAATAATATAGTGCATTCGTGCAATACCTAGAAGACCATCATTATTCGAGCACATGTACTATTGTACGAACGCTTCGACTTTCAATAGCCGATCACAAACTCACTGCAAATAATTATAATAACATTATTGTGATATAAATGAAGAAAAAAAAAATGCGGTAAAAAACACTATCCTATACTATATTATGTCCGCGCCGTTATAATTGTTATTATTATTGATTTATATTTACTAAAATTTAATAATATATTATGTTCGTGGAATTTGTATAAAAAAATAAAGACGTATTTACATTTTGTATGGGAAATTACTCGGCTACAAAGTATGAGTGCTATGGCGTTTTAAAACGCTATCAGCCCTTATAAAATTAATGATGTTTAATTCTCAGTAATGAAATAGTAGACCCAAGTATGACAGTGTTTGAAGTGTGCTTCCCTCTGCACGATTACTCGTTTGAGTTGTTGATTCGAATTCAAAATTAACCAAATTTATTCGATTAGAATAATAACAATAATAATAATAATAACAACTGACCCATTATAGGTTTAAAAATACTGTTTATTCTATTTACATTTTGTATGACAAATACACTCATGAAATTTAAGGTGATTTTTCGAGCATAATGAACAGTAATCACCCCCATTTTTTCTTTATTAATGGATTTATTCAAATTTCGATTTTTTTAATTTTTAAGCATACTTGAGAGTTAAGGACCATATTATTTTAAAATACTCAGGCTTTTATTCCATTTAAAGAGTGTCCTGTATCCATACAAACATTATTTTTTCACACAAGTACAATCATTTTTTACCTCGGATAAATTATCAAGCAGATAATTTTCTTTTAAAATTGTAATGCATGTACATTAAAATTCTAAGTAGTTTCGGTATTATATAATTTTATACAATATTTACTTAGAAAAATAGTCGATGGTTAAATATTTTAATATATGAGAGCAATGATGATTTAAACGTTACATTTTCTAATACTGATATATTATAATTTTGTAATTTCTTAAAGTTATCCGAGTAAGATATTAACCAGACTAAATATATTTTATGTAAAACCATCATTACAGATTATTATCCCCATCCCTTGGAATATAAATTTAAAGGATTTAGAGCTACTTATTTTGAAATTCAATTTAGATGCATTTACATTTTCAAAAAAAAGAATTGGCTTATGAATCTACGATTGAATATTTGGTCAGTGATTGAA